GGGGGAGAACCAAACACAGAGAAATCACTCTACAAAAAAGAAACAAAATGATATAAAAAGCAAAACCATCAGAGAACAAAATACTGGAAGTGATTTTTTTTTAAGAAAAAAAAATGGAGGACAGAAAGACGGGGGTTAGGAAATGGCTTTGCCTTAAAAAAACTAATCAAGGCGTAAGAGCCTCAAGCACTATTGACTGCAGCCTTCCTCTTTTGTCGGGGTGTCCCCCTTAACGTCTCGGCTTCCTTTGGTTAAACACGTCTCTGGCTCATGAGGGAGCTTAAGGGGATCAATGACTAGACAAAAGAGGAAGAAGAGGAGGAAGAGGAGGAGGTGGAGGAGGGGGGGAATGCCCATCCCCTCATATTGCCGCCCTTCTCCTTTTTTCTTTTAGTTTCCTTTTCTTCTTTACTCACTCATTATCTCTTCCTCTCGCTCGCTCTCTCTCTTTCTCTCTCTCTTTCTCTCCCTCTCTCTCTTTCTCTCTCTCTCTCTCTTTCTCTCTCTCTCTCTCTCTCTCTCTCTCTTTCTCCTTCTCTCCCTCTCCCTCTCTCTCTTTCTCTCTCTTTCTATTTCTATCTCACTCTCTCTTTCTCTCCCTCTCTCCAATGTTAAGAACCAAATAAACACAACGTGATATCCCTCACATCTGTGTGGCACTATTGAATCTGGGTACTTCGTCAATGTCGTTCTTGTGAACGTCTAATCAGAAACGATAACTATAACTGCTTTTGAATGGGGATGGATTCAAAGCCACCAACGCACGGTTACAGAAGAGATTTTGCCACTATCGCATGTACAAATCTCAATGCTTACAAGTAATCCTTACACCGACCGAATACAATGTAGCCTTGCAACACTGAACTTGCTGTCGAAAGGTTGTAAGTTCGATACCGGGCTTCGCAGGATAGTACGAGTCATTAGTAGGGAATAAGAAAGGATATACGACAGAGCCTTGTGTTTTTTGCAGACACCTCAGCCTCAAAATGGCGTTATCGCAGGCATCGAATAACCGCCATTAAGCTCGTGTGCCCGTTTTCCATTAGCGAGCGCCCCCTAGCGGACGCCGACTGCCGCCCAGACCTGTCACCCAGGAGTTGTTATGCCTGACAGGTACACCGGACGCACCCCCCTCCCCTCACCCCTCCCACTTCACCTGAACTCACCTGCAAGTACATCAAAGACCTCTTCCCACACCTCGGCCCCTTCATGAATATCTGACATCTCTTTCGGCCTTTCTAAGTTTCCTCCCTACTCATTTTCTTCTTCCTTTACCATCTCTTTCATCTTGGGTGGTTCTACCCTTGTCCGGCCTTCCTTAAAAGTGTATTTTATTTATTAGACTTGTATTATGTTTGTGTCTTCTTTAAGAGCACGCCAAGAGGACATGTTTTTGTTCTACAAGGCGGTATTCCCCAACCTTGTTGTAGAGAGAGTGACGGAGAGAGAGAGAGAGAGAGAGAGAGAGAGAGAGAGAGA